AATTGTGTTAGTCCGAAAGAAAACAGGAAAACTAAGACTGTGCGTTGACTATAGAATGCTGAACAACAAAACAAGAAAAGACGCTTATCCGTTACCCAGGATACAAGAGTCCATGGACGCTCTAGTAGATGCTAAGCTATTCTCTGTAATGGATCTCCAACAAGCTTATCATCAGGTTCAAGTAGCTGAAGAAGACGTATATAAAACAGCCTTCACAACACCCTTTGGTCTGTACGAATATCTTAGAATGCCCTTTGGTCTAACAAACGCACCTGCAACTTACCAACGACTTATGCAAATGGCGTTCAGAGATGAGATTTTTAAATCCATACTAGTTTATCTCGACGACTTGATTGTATACTCAGAATCAATTGAAAATCACATTGAGAGACTTGAAAATGTATTCGGCATCCTACAGAAGTTTGGCCTGAAATTAGAACTTTCAAAGTGCTCATTTTTTAAAGAAGAAGTCAAATATCTTGGCATGAAAGTGTCAAAAGATGGTGTCCAGCCAGATCCTAAGAATATAAAAGTGATTGAGGAATGGCCAGTTCCAGAGAATGTGAAAGAATTACGAGCATACATGGGATTCAGCAGCTACCATAGAAGATTCATCAAGCAGTTTGCCAAGATTGCAACTCCTTTATATGATATTCTCTCCAAAGTTGGAACTGTAAAGAAAAGAAGATCAAAGAAAGTATCAATAAAAGAACACTGGAATGACATTTGTCAAGAAGCCTTCATGGAGATAAAGAGAAGATTAAAATCTGCTCCTATTCTAGCTTTTGCAAACTATAACCTCCCATTTATAGTAGAAACCGATGCAAGCAACAAAGGTCTAGGATGTACTCTTTTACAAGAACAAGATGGTGTTAAGCGAGTTATAGCTTATGGCAGCCGAGGACTAAGAGGTTCTGAAAGAAACATGAAGAACTATTCCAGTAAGAAATTAGAACTGTTAGCCTTGAAGTGGGCAATCACCAACCAATTCAGAGATTATCTTCTGGGATCATACTTCACAGTATATACTGATAATAATCCCTTGACATACATCTTCAAGAAGAAAAAGCTTCCTGCATTGGAACAAAGATGGATAGCTGATTTGGCATCATTCAGATTTGATATCATCTACAAAGCTGGAAAAGAAAACACAATAGCTGATATATTATCAAGACTTCCAAGATCAGGAGCAACTGAGAGAGATGACGACTCTGAAGAATCTGAACAAGAAGAAGCAGCTATGACAGTACATGTTGAAGAAGAGGAAAAGTTTCCAAAGGAACTACAAGAACAGAATACAATGGAAGTAATAGCAGCTCATTGTGAAACTACAATTATTCCTCCTGAGATTCACAGTTTAGCATTAAAACAAGAATACACACGTCAAACTGATAGCAGAGTTCAAAAGGATGACAGAACAGCAAGCACTATATTTCCAACAATGAAAGATGGTTATGAAAAAATCCAGGACAAAGACAAGGATATTAGTGTCATTAAGAAATGTGTCAAAGAAGGACAGCACCCAAACAAAATTGAACAGAAAAAACTGTCTAAAACATCCAAAGCTCTACTTCGGAATTGGAACCGTCTAAATATTATCAAAAATGTTCTAGTAAGAAAAATCAAGGACAACAATGGAAATGAAACTTATCAAATCATAGTCCCACAATGTATTCGTGAAGATGTATTGAAAGCTAACCATGATATGAGCGGACATCAAGGATCTGACAGAACTGAAAAACTTGTAACAAAGTCTTTCTTCTGGCCAGGAATGTATACAGATATACGAAACTATGTACGAGATTGCTCAAGATGTTTGTATTCCAAGAAACCAGTCAGAAATGTAATTACGCCATTGGGAAGTTTAACAGCCAAACGCCCACTTGAGTTATTATTTCTAGACTTTACACTTTTGGAGAAATCTTCCGATGGAATCGAAAATGTTCTAATAATAACTGACGCTTTCACAAAATACACTCTTGCAATTCCTACAAAGAATCAAAAAGCAGATACAGTCGCAAAAGTCCTAGTCAACAATTGGTTCTATAATTTTGGAATACCAATGAGAATCCACTCAGATCAGGGACGAAATTTTGAAAGTGAAATTATTGCAAGCCTATGCCAGCTCTATGGTATCAAAAAATCTAGAACAACTCCATACCATCCGTCAGGAAATGGGCAATGTGAACGTTTCAATAGATCACTCCACTCGCTACTGAGAACACTTTCCGAAGAAAAAAAGAAAAAATGGACGAAGCATATACGAGATGTTGTCTTTGCATACAACAATACTCCTCACAGTTCAACAGGTTACTCTCCATTTTACTTGATGTTCGGCAGAGAGGCAAGAACACCAATTGATATACAGCTAGGATCCTTAGATGTAGACACTCAACAAGAAAACTGGGTCACGGAACATAGCGAAAGATTGAAATATGCTTATAAAATGGCAAATATTCAACTGGAACAAAATTCATCAAAAAGGAAGGAATATCAGGAAAAGAAAGTAACACACAAAAACGAAGACATTGAGATAGGATCTGTAGTACTACTAAAGAAATTTCATCAAGGAAGAAACAAAATCCAAGATACTTATGATCAAAAAGAATACATAGTTGTGAATAGGAAAGGAGATGTATATGAAATTCAAGATGAAAGTGGTGAGAAGAAAAATGTAAACAGACAAAACATAAAACAAAAACCACTCACTATTAGAGATAGTCAAAAGAAAGAAATTGTGAGAACTGAGTCAAAATCAGATGAACATGACAACAGGAGATACAATTTAAGAAAAAGAAAGAGTGCAAAGTCCGAATCAAGTGTTAAAGACAACGAAGAAGATTCTGATGATTCTGATTTCTATTAAAGAAATTCGAATAGCCTCGCGCGAGTTTTAACTATGTGAAAAATGGAATAGCATATCCAACAGATGTTTAATCATATAAAAATGAATAAAAATACAAAAATATTTATAGTTAAATGTTAAAATTTTAAATTTAAGTGTGCTGTTTTACATGTGCTGTTTTACATGTTTGTAATATCTTAACTTATGTAAGTAAACATACTCATAATAGTTAGGATCGTGGTTGTTTAGCTTATACATCTAGCTTTATCATATTGGATATTATGCATTATAGGGGAGGAATATCCTCAATATTATGATTACAACTTTACATATGTAATAGATACAATAATTTGATGTTAGTTTATATTTTATAATTTTTGTAATTGTGACCGAGTTAAGGTATCTGCGGTGCATTGATAGACATGTCCGCGTGAATGTAAATAGGGTATTTAACTGTTCATTTTTAAGCATCAATTGCTCTCATTAATTATACAATATTGTATGCTCCATAATAATTTGGCGTACTTTTTTCGCCAATTGCTCTCATTTATTATGCAATATTGTATGCTCCCTAATAATTTGGCGTACTTTTTTCCCACCTTTTTACTTTTCAACCAATCAGATTTGTTGATTGGATAAACACATAATGGAGGAAGACTTGGTGAGAAATTATCCCATATTTTGTAATATTTCTAATTGATATAATAACCCTAGAGATTAATTACATTCATATTCATAAAGTAGATATTACAAGGTTCATGTACATATAAATTATTAGATGTTTCGATAGAAATATGAACTTGAAATTGTAATTTTAGAAACTTGTCAACTTTGTGAACAAAATCTATATTTTGTAAACAGACATTTACATTTTGGGTATTACTTTATTCAAGGCAACAATGTTATAGCAGATACATATCAATCAACCATCCAATCAACCACAGCTGTATACAGTTAGCCCATAGGGTAAGCATATATATTTTAGAGAATATGCATTTCACTTTGAATATTGCATTTATATTGCATTTCTCATTTTCTCATATAAGATAGCGTAATTGCTTCTATATTAGAGATAATTGTATTCACAGGATACATTTGGTCATTTATGTAATAATGGTATATATTTCTAGCTTATTCTGCATAATGTAGATGGTCATTGAAATGCACATTGTTGTTTGAAATGCGCATATGCACAATGTTCAATGCCAAATATCTAAGCTATTTATAACCACTTTTATGTAATTGTGTGTTGATTCAGGGATGATATGTTACGTATTCTATTTCTGCATTGGTAATTTTATCCATACCCAAAATGTTGTAATTTGTACTTTTACAGGCTGTCTGTCTGTGTGTCTATGTCTGGCTGATTACAATAAACCATTTTAAATCTAAGATGATCTTATGTGACGCATATCGCATATCATACTAGCCACTTTAAGCCACCACTACACTTATATATATATATATAATATACACTTGTGGTAATAAAGGATACAATACAACACAATACAATATATCTAACCTACGTATTAAAGTATATTCAGTTTTCATATTCTTTTTTCTTCATAGAAATCGGAACATCACAACCTGATCATTGGCTTAATATTAAATGTTGATTTACCATACATTCTCAATATCGATAAATTAGTTTTGTCAAACAAGGACGCGAACAAAAACACCAAGTATTCGCTAGCTAAGTGTGCAAAGAAATGTTTCAAAACTTAGATTTGCTGTTTAGAACCAAAAGTAAAAGTTTAGAAGTATAATGTATGTTTAATTATGTGCCGTTCCTATAATCTTTCATCCAGAACAAAGCTTATTGAATTCAGTCCGTTAATCTAATCAACATGGAATTTCGGAATTATTATTTAATTTATTTATCATGACTGTGTTCATCTTTCTCATCTAATTGACATATGCATGATTTCAGGTTTTTATGTGTATAAGTTTGTAGGGTGGGGAAAGTAAAAGGAATAATTCGAACAATTAATTAGTTCAACCTCTAATTTCAGATCGATTGTCTGTGTTCATATTTATATATGGTCAGTATCATAGTTTTCAAGAATGTGCGCATAAGATATTTTGTTCTTACATTTACATATTATCATTGTTATTATTATGTTATGAATTTAAATGTTAATTGAAAATAACAAACCTTTATGTGTAAAAGTCCCTCGTGTTCCAGCTATCAAGCACATTATTGCAACAAACTTCCTCAGTTTGATCATCATCAAATTCTTAAATGGCCTTTTGTGAATATGCAAATCAAGTTTTCTTCATATGAAGTGTAACATCGCAATCTAAACATGGACTTAAATACTAAATGATGAACGAAAGAATTTCCTATTTGACGTAAATTTTCAAAATTGATAAGTGTGTTTTTGTCAAGTATGGATGGGAGCACGAGCATGGCATGAGTGCCAAGAAAACGATTTATAGTCCATTTACCGTTTTAACCAATATTCGAACATGACTGTATTCACGCATTCTATAAACTGTAAACAAAGTCAATGCTTCAGCTAGGTAATTATATTCGAGATCAGTAAATCAGTTAATTATTAATTAATAAGTTTATTGGTCTCTTGAACATGTAATGTACATCGAGATAAGTCCAATAAAGCAAATAACAAATAAAACATTCATGTACATGCATGGCAAAACAATTCTTACAATCTAATTTTAACAATCACTAAGTACTTTACTAAACAGCATAAAATGATTTCACATCAGTTTTGTTTAACAACTCTTTGGTAATATTGTGAACTCTCGTAAAATAATCACCAATTATTTCATTAATTGCATCATCGTGCGCTAACAGGGAGTATAAAAATAGACTACTTGTATTAAAATGAGAAAAACTATTGTTCATACTTTTTATTTTACTGAGATATTGAGATCGAGCTAGTTTTAGTTCTGATTGAGAACAACAAAAAAGAACGTGTTCTCCATCACCTATTGTATTTTTTGAATTACAAAAGAAACAAAATCGTTTCGATTTTTCTACTTTGAAGTATCGACCTCGTTCAATTGGGAAGTTATGCATCGATAACCGTACCTTAGAAATAGGTCATAACGGTGGGTCGTTGTAATGGCGGACCATGATGAATATCCGAAACAATTTGGTGAGTTTTCATGTTCGAATCGTAATATAGACCTCGGAGCAGGGGTAATATCGTCGAATACACCCCTTGGGGCTAGGCACAAAAGCTTTCGAACCCCTCACTCCTTTCGGTCGTTCGGGTTACAGAAAACGTTTGTGCCTAGCCCTGCGGGGTGTATTCGACGATATGACCCCTGCTTTTCGGTCTATATTTCTTAAGTAATCAATGGCACATTGTGTGCCACCTATTATATTCGGAGATAGTTTAAATGAATTGATGGTATACGAGTATAACTCAACATATATTACAAAAGATAAAAATTGAATAATATTCAGAATCTAGATACTCACATTTCTTTTAACAATTGTCAAATAACCGCTGTTACTAAAAGTATTTGCGTGGAACATCCACCTTGAATTAAGAATAGAAATTTTAAAAAACCTATAAAAATGATTTTTGAGAAAATTTAAAATATTAAGAGTACATTTTCCTAATCATAAATCTGCACATCTATTAGATGAAAATTGGAGGGTCAAAACAAATAAGATGGAATGCAAGTATGAAATGCTGGTACAAAAGAAACTAAGCTTTAGATACAGTAGCTGTCAAGGTGGATGTTCCACGCAAAACCTTTTAGTAATATCTTTATTTGTGTGTTAAAAAGCTTGATTGCATCACAAGTTTGACATATGTTAATGACATTCAAATGTCAAGAAGTCTATTCAAAAGAGATAAACACAAAAATGTATACATTTTTAAGGAAAAAACAAGCAAGGGATCTGAAAGGATTAAACCTAAATTATTGGGGCAATTATACTTGGATGGCGGTATTAATATGGTAGATGCCTTTTTAGTCAAGAATCCCTCATTTTGACTTGGGTGAAACGGTTTATTGATGGTGAAAATTCAAATGGATAGATATTACTGGCTAAAGTAGGTCACGATTTTAAGTAAAGCTTAAGCTCGAAAATACACATATCCTATTTACATTTTTTATATACTATAGAATATGTTAATTATATTAGATATAGCAAAAAAATGCATTATGGAGTGTACCCCAATTTGATATGCTTATTTGAGGAAGAATGTTTTATTAGAAATGTGTGAATTGTAACATGTCATGATTGAATAAATAAATGAATAAAAAGATAAATTATGGTTTTATTCTATGCTTAGCTATTAACTCGTTTGTTATTTTTTGTAGATAATTTTAAGGAAATAAAAATCATAGGTGAACTATTCATTTTTGGACGTTTTAATTTTACATGTTTTCCTCTTAATTTTTTGTTAATTTTATAGCAGAAGCAAGATATATAATGCTATTGTGGTCAAAATGTCAAAATGTATGTAGTCTAAACCAGTGTGTGCTTCAATGTAATAATAAAAAGTAACATCATATTTGTATGTCCGATCATAAGTTCGAATGATAGTTGTATTTCAAATATTTTTGTATGACATATGTGAGACCAATGTTACACCCCAGTCACATTTGTCGCACGGCGGCCGCAAGTCGACCGCAGAACAATTAAATCGGTGAATTTCAGCGGCGAGCGTAGAAAAACTACGCTCGCCTTGCGGCCTCCATACGGCGTATGCAGATTTTTACAGGCCGCAGGGAAGGCGTAGAAATTATAACTCAGAGTTATAATATTTGTTCATTTCTGAGGTCCCCGTAGAAATCAACTGGCTCAACAAGATTGAATCATTATTTGTCAATGTTTCACGATCACTTTACATTTGATATTACATCCTAGCACTTTGAATAACATTTATAAATTGTCCTGATGTAAATAAAATGAAAAAACTATTATTTATCAATAGAAATTTAAAATTCACCGTGCGGCTGCCGTGGGAAATGTGACTGCAAAAGTATGAGAGCGCAGAAATTCTGCGGCGAGCGTAGAAAAGCTACTGGCCGCAGAAATGATAGACCGCAAGGTCGCCGTAGGAAATGTGACTGGGGTGTTAAGGGGAAAACTGCCCTGCAGGCCTTACTTTGTATTCGTGTTTTTCTGTTTTCAAAAATTCGATATGTGATGTATATTTCTTAGTTTTTTCAAAGAAATGTACAAATATTTCATTACGGTTTTAGCTTCACATCGTAAGTTCGATCACATTGAGCACGATTCATATTCACAATTCAGAGAGGAAATTGAGAAGTTATTAGATCATTGCAACAGGCATGAGGCTACAAGCGATCCTTTCTTAATATATGATACGTGTTCGCGATTGGAGAATCACACCAGAGCTCTTTGAATATATAGATGGCGCAAGTCACGTGACTTACCCCACATCAAAACCGTGAACATTGGTTTATATAAAATCGTTCGGTAAGTCACGTGACTTACCCCACAAATGAATATGTTTACCCTAAACGAATGGTACTTGGCATCGCACATATTTAAAACACTTATCAAATTTATATTTGATCTGGTCGAATACATTTTTGAAGCATCTTACATATTTATTGTGTAAGACAGTCAATTATATTTGGGATAGTAGGTACCATGTGTTGTAACTGTTTTTTTGTTTATGTTCGGTTTAACTTACTCCGTGGGGTAAAAACCGAAGATATTAATGTTACGAATAATGCAATGCAATGCAATAAATACACTATAATATTTAGCGTACTATTTGTCGTCCTTCAAATCGTTTTGATTCATGTCACTATTTCCCTAATAGGCCAAGCAAATGGGCTCATAAAAGGCCCAAACATCCCAAAAATTGCAACAGTTTTTAAATTAGTCTTATATTATGTATTGATATCAGTTGAAAAACATATCAAAAATATAGAAAAATGTATGCAGTGGACAAATATGAAATTTCACTTCCTAGGTACCCCCTACAACCCTACCCCAAAATTGAGTATTGGTAGGAAACAATTTTTTCTTCCCAAATGGAATACTTTAGTCAAGTATTCAAGCTTTATTATGATAGATCACATATTCACAAATAATTAAAATATTATTTTAATCATTTTTGAGACCAGAAATTGAACATTTGACCCCAAAGTATAACAAAATAGGCCACAAAACAGGCATGTTATCACATATCTATTTAGATATTTTAGGATCAGTTTGTCAGAAAAGCATGAAAAAAATCATGGTGTTACATATTCATATGAACTTCATATATGGTGAGTTTCAGAATTCTAACTTGTATACTTAGGAAGAAAAAAATTATTTCATTTTCATAGATTTGCCCCGCCCACTATATGGGGAGACTATAGTTTTGATGACTAACTCCCACAATGCATAACATTTGCATTATAGGTGACATCTAAATCATTTATATAAGCTTGTCAGCATCTAAAATACAAGTTTTGTGAAGGTTTATACCTTATTAGTATGAAAAATAGGAATTAATAGTTGCACCAGGTGAAATGTTAAGGTGACCTCACTTTTATTTGATGAATAATTACATATCACCACTCTGATATTAGGATATTTGATAACTGCTCTATACTAGGCTTATCTAAATAATGTAAGTTGTAGTTTCTGTGGAATTTAATATTGTTTAAAATATTAATTACAATCCGCAATTACAAAATTTGCATATATTTAAATTCATCAGATAAATAAATCATTACATAAGAGTACATTACTATGGAACTATCAATTGGATGTATGCTGTAGAAACGAATTTATGGTTATTAAACGGAATTTAAACTGATAGAGCACATTTAAATCTCAGATATCTGGGGAGTCTTTCATCAATATAATTTCAGTGCGTAGGAATGATGGTAATTCTGTCTGTCAGGTTGGAAAACATTGAGTGTACATTTGCTACATTCAGAATCGGATTCAGATATTGTGATAGTGAAAATTGCAATCCAAAGTGTCCAAACCTCAAATACAGTACTAATACAGATCTCCTTGTGCTTCTCATTTATCATGCACAAAACACAAACTTCAACATTTTCTTCAAACCTGAACCAAAAGCAGAAACAAAATGTTGGAATATAAATGAAACAAGATTGTCTTTGGGAAAAGTGGTCTGTGACAATATTTTATTTATCTTTTCTGGGCTGTGATACCGCATTAAGGTTATAAATGGCATAGACAAGAAGCTATCATTGAAGCAGATAAAAAAGAGTGAGTTCTTGAAAAAACAAGCGGTTGTTTTTAGATTACCAAAAGCACTGGTGATCCGCTCGATTACGCTTGTTACCGAAACGAAACGGGTCGTTTCGGTAACAACATGTCTCAACGTCGAAGGTATGATTTTTCTTTTTTCCTTTTTTTCACGCGTT